GTTCAGAAAGTAAACAAATGTGGCAGTCAGCAAATCTGATAGAGTGGTGGAGTGACAAAAATAGTACACGTGACCTTATGATGACCGGCTTATTTTCAGCCTAAGCTTTACACGGTTAGTGTTCGTAGCTTCTATCGTGCTATGCAACGTGGGGTTGCATTCCTTCAGGGGTGATGACATCTCAAACTTCTTTTCCACCTCCGTGCATCAATTTTCTACCAAATTTATCTCCATATCTTGCTTGGTATTCAGCTGCTTTCATGTATTACCACATATATTGCAGTCAACAACACTGCAATACTGTAATCACTCGTATTTCTTGTCAGTTCATCTCGCAATGCTCGATTTGCCTCCCTCCCCACTCTCGATGTACTATTTTGGAAGATTATGGAGCTCGGCTCAAATACCCATTGGCTCATTATGCGCTCAAAACTTCCATCACAATCATATTTGGATGCCTATTGCAATCTATTTCTATCTAATCGCCGTAGCTGCGATTCTTCATTCTTAAACGTTCATAACGTCGCTGATTTATGAAAATTTGACTGGGCCAGTGCCTAGAAATGGACTTCTTGCGTAGAAAATTTGATGCAACATAGAAAAGGTAAGATCGAGACCCATGAGCTACGCCGTAGCCTTGCAGATATCTCCAAGATTTTCATTTGCAATCCTAGTTATCCCCCCTGGATCTGGATAGCTTCTGCTTATCGATTCCAGGATAAGTTTCAACGCGAACACCCTCCCACGTTTTTAACCGTGCCTTGTGAGAAGGCGCTGGTAGTTGACATACGGAATCGGAGTCGTGATAAGATAGAGTCTAGCTACCCCTGCTTGTCGTGGTAGGATTTTGATTTCCATCGACGAAACCTCCGGAATATTCCTTTCTTTCTTTTCTACAAGCCCTCTCATTCTTATCTTGTATTTGCCAATCCAGCCATTGTCGGCCCTCATGTTTGTTGAAAAGCTGTCATGAAAATACGGTTCCATAATGGGCTGCTGTTTGCTTTGACTGTTGTACTAAAAGTCACAGCCAGTCCATTGAATGGTGTACCTGAAAATCAGTTGAAGTCAGATAGCGTTCTTCCCTCTCCATTGGTTATACCGGCTAGTCAATACTTTGTGAGTTTTATGTTTTCATTCTCAAATTCTCAAATCCGGAAATGAATTCTTACATCTTTTTAGGATGGCGATGATGGTGAATGGTCTTCTTTGGCATTGAGAGTTGGGAGCCCCGCACAAGATGTTCGAGTATTGGTATCAACCAATTCACCACAGACTTTAGTGGTTTTGCCACTTGGTTGCACTTCTGCAGCTATATCACCGGTACCAAGTGGTTGTGCGAATGTTCGAGGGGGCCTATTTAACAACAGCTTATCCAATACTTGGGAGGACATAGGATTATTTGGAATCAACGAAAATGGTGTAGGATTCCAGGCAGATTTGGGATATTCTCAATCGGCAGACTTTGGGTTAGATTCAATCGGATTGGGATATGTCTCGGGGACGAATGGACCTTCGCTCGATAATCAAACAATCGGTGCCATTGCTACAGCATCGCCATTCTATACGTATGTAGTCGCCTGAACACCCGAAATCATGGCTGACTTTAGAAAGAGGAATATTCGGACTCGGTACTCAGCCATTAAACTTTACGACTATAGGAAATTATTCATCCGAATCCTATTTCTCATCTTTATGGTCTCAAAAACTTATCCCAAGTTTGACGTGGAGCTATACAGCTGGAGCAAAATATCGTATGCAATCCCTTCCTTCACCGCATTCAAAAATGTCTCATTGAAGATAATTTAGGACTCAAAGCCGGCCAGTACGCGCAATTGATTTTTGGAGGATATGATACGTCTCGGTTTACACCAAACTCTGCTTCCTTTACTCTTTCGTCAGACATCAATCGAGACATCGTTGTGGCGATTCAAGCTATAACATATAGTGGAACGACACAAGCTAGTCTTTTGCAAACTCCGACTTATGCTTTTATTGAATCAACCGATCCAAATTTCTGGCTTCCCGAAGTAGTTTGTCAAGAATTCGAGAAAGCTTTTGGCCTTTCATTAGACAATAGTACCGGTCTCTACCTGATCAACTCTACTCAATATTCTTTGTTAACCTCTATCAATCCTCAAATTACATTTTCTCTAGCGAATTCATTAACAGGTGGTGACATCGCTTCCATCGTACTACCTTTCAATGCTTTCGCCCTATCAGCTTCGTATCCTTTTGTTTCAAATGATACTTATTATTTTCCTCTCAGAAAATCAGCCAATGACAGTCAGAATACTCTAGGGCGAGCTTTTCTACAAGAAGCGTAAGTCGTTATTCTATAAATCTACACATCTTCCTAACAAACTTTTAGTTACCTCACAGTTGATTATGAACGTGGAAATTTCACTGTCAGTCAGTGTTCTTTCGTTGATGGTTCCAGTTCCGAAATCAGTACTATCATATCTCCCACTTTGACAAACAATTCCTCATCTATGTCACAATCTTCATCCAGCGCTGATCCTACTGATCCCACTGAACATTTATCAATTGGAATTATATGTGGAATTGCTGTGGCATTAGTGACTGTGCTCATCATTGGAGCTCTTGGTGGATTTTATCTTTTCCGTCGTCGCAACCGTCGCAAATCTACAGCAGAGATTGCTCTACGTGGAATGAATGGATCATTCTCTAAGGATGGCTCTCGTATGACACCATCGCCCAATCCATCATCGATACCTCCAATAAATCCTTCTCCAGATCCTTCTTCACATCCAATGTATATGCAAGAAGTCAAACCAATAACCGAAGCGCCAGGTCATGAAGCTCGTGAGCTGGTGGAACTTCAATCGCCTGATCTGAACAATCAGTCAAATTTTATTCAATTTATAAACAAACCAACAGAAATATATACAAAAATATCAGAAGATCCTTACGAAGATTATACAATTGCTGCACGCCGGATAGACTCTCAAAGAAAATTTGCAATTTCATCTGAAATGGATGCAAGTTCCGCGATATATGAGCTTCCTGGAAGTAACCCATTGGTTGAGATGGATGATGAAAGAAGTAGGCATACCTTGTCGCCACGCTTAGCTAGATCTCCGAAATCACCTCACTTTTCCAAAGAAGGACACGCATTATTATCACAACATTCCTCATACCAAAATATATCTCCGGCCATATCAGAACTATCACCAAGTCCTAGAGTTTCCTCAACACAAGGAAGGATATCCCCATTGGAAATTCTCACAAATAAGTCGTCTACCTCACACAAATCAGGGCCTATTGACACTAAATCCTTCACATCAACAAATCTTGAACCACCCATTTATCGTTTTAACCCATTGAGAAGATCAGGCACAGGTTACTCGGGCAATTCAGGATTCTCAGGGATTTCAGAAGAATCAACAGGAACACCCCTTTCAATGACAAGTCCTACTCTTGGTAGACCTCCTTCAATGTTTATGAGAGCTTTCTCGAGATCTGGCAGGCCGGCTTGGAATAGAGAATCAGCCCCAAGTGTTCCGTCTAGAGGTTCTTCAAATGCTACGACGCCGGGTGGGCGGACAGGTAAAAACCCTAATAACTCTTGGTTTTTTTAATGATTCTCATTTTTATTAATGCTATGTTCTTTGTATATATTTATTTCTCCAATTCTGGGTATACAGGAGGGAAATTTCAAGGGCATTTTAATTGGTGGAGACGAGCTCTACTTTACTACACTCGTAGGATCGATTATTGAAATCATTTGATACGACATGAACGATTCAACGTGAGGTGGATAATAATCTCACAAAATACTACTGTGTTCCCAGTACATGTCGCACTCAAAAAGCAAATAAAAAGTTTCGTAAAATAGTAAGGTCAATCATGAATCCTCTTTCGTGCTGCATGTTTGAGTCAAATTGTCAAATATTCCATTCATTTAATATCTATGTCACTATCTCTTCATTGTTTAATGGTCTGTTTTCTATTAACTGCTTGGACTCACTGTATATTGGAATATTTGATGGTCTTCTCGGCGGTGGTGTTTGAGGGGAAGGGGTGGCTGACATGGCTCACATTTTACAAGCCACACACGTGAGAACAAAAATGCATACCTGGGTTTATCTTGGATCAATCAACCCATCCATTTATCGAAGAGAACATTCTTTCTTATACCTTGGTTCTTTTTCGTATTCAACAAATATCGAAGATATCAATTCGTTTGTCTGCACTCAGAATAGATCATACCAAGGGCAAGAACAAATCCACTATATCTACGAAGTAGATCTAGGTACGTACATATATTCAACAACGAAGCATACCCATCATGAGAGTCACTTATGAGCAAGCGCGAATACTTCCTTTGCGAGCTATAAAAATCATGTATACGAAGAGCAGGAGTACGTTCGAGTTGCCCTAGCTCCTCTGTCTGGTCGACTTTCGAGTTTGCCACGAAAAAATATTGAGGTTTGTCTGGTGTTGCACATGATTTTTTTGTTTGTAAGGTTACTTTGAATTTGTTAATGATCAATTATGGTCATTTCTTTTTTTATGATTTATTTTCTTTCGAGGGAGCAAACCTTTCGACGATACCATAGAAAGCAACGGCTACTTGTAGAGCCAGTACACTGAAAACGATAGAACTTGAAATAATGGGATATACTTCATTGTGTTTCGTACAATCCAGATTATGACAGATGTTTCCCCTGCATTTGGTTTTAATAAAGAGTCGGGAGCGGGAGACTACTCCCACACGGGAAGCGTATGATCAATTCTTTTCCGTCAATTACATGGAAATATTCGGCTGAATTATTGACTTTCATTTTATTTCTTTCTCAAAGCATATCATCTACAAGATCATCTCCATGTCGCGTCTTTTGACAATCAGGAACTTTCTAGGCTCTTCATATCCAATCTTTGGATCAATACTTCATAAATACGCCTGGAAGCCCGAGAATGAGAGCCTTTTGACTCTCAAATCTACTTGGTTCAATACGCAAGGATATCAAGCCAAAATGGTCAGCAACCAGGAAAAAATCGAAGCAAAAGAATATGCTCATCATCTTAAACTACTCAAGGATGATCCAACTGGCCGTGATCGAGATAATCAACAATATATTACACCGGTTTTCACAGCTCCACTTCGAAACCAAATCGAGCAGTATGGATTGATAGCCGGACAATGTAGCATTCTTGCCAATAGTGAAAATAGGAAGGATCCACGGCTCTTCTATAACATAGCTGCACCTTTCAGTACATTCATTTGTGGCTCCCAAGGAAGTGGAAAATCCCATACTCTGTCATGCCTTCTGGAGAATTGTCTTGCGAATTCATCCGTTAGTAAGGTGAAGAAACCTCTATCGGCATTGTTGTTTCACTATGATGCATTTATTGGCGATGTGTGAGTTCAATTAGTTCTTTCATATGGAATAATCCATGGACTCAATGCTTCTTTACTTCCTGACATCTTCTGATGTTCTTTATTTTGCTTTCTTGACGGTTGCAATCTAACTTCTTGATGTTGCAGGAAAGGGACCCCTTGCGAGGCTGCTTACCTTGCAAGCAATCCAGACATAAAAGTTCGAGTTTTATGTCCTCCGACCAATTTTAGAACCATACAAGTAAGTTCAATTCTGGCCTCTTTCTCGGTGTCCTTTCCATTAGATCTCATCTTGATTCCTCCTTTTCCGTCTACATCACACACTTGAGTGACTTAAGTGCGGAGAAGCTGTTATACAATGTGATTTTTAATGTATCATTGGTATTTTTATTTCAATAACCAACACTGATACACAAATTCTGGCCACAGCGCACGTACAGTGCTATTAAGGGTGTTAACATTCAAGAACTTTGCATCGACGAAACTGATCTTACAACGCAAAGAATGTTGAGCTTGATGGCCGTCAAAACGTCAGAAGAAATGCCGCTCTATCTGCATAGTATCACTAGAATCTTACGGGTTCTCCGAATTGCTCACCAAATCAGCGGAAAGCCTTTTCATTATGGAGAATTCAAGAAGCACCTTGAAGATCTTCGGTTGACAACTGGCCAGGAAGGACCGCTCACACAACGATTGGACACACTAGAAAGCTTTATGCCAATTGAGCAGAGGAAAGCTAAGTCTCCTGCTCCTTTGAAAAGGGGTAAAGGAACCGATTGGAGCATAAAGGTTACATCCTCCCTCGAAGTTTTCAGGACATTGATTTCATAACTAACACACCGCAGGCAGGAGAACTTACTATCGTTGATCTTTCATGTCCTTGTGTGACTGTTGAAGCTGCATCATCTCTCTTTAACATGTGTCTCTCACTATTTCTAGAAGAGAAATCCAACATTGGGAAAGTCGTTGCCCTTGATGAGGCCCATAAAGTACGATATTTCCTGAAAGAACTACGCTGGGAAAACCTGCGACTGACAAATTTTGCATCTTTTAGTATATGTCGAATAGTACAGGAGATGCCTTGACCAGTAATTTATTATCCACAATTCGTCTCCAACGCCATTTAGGTACACGGATTTTTATTTCAACACAAGAACCCACAATATCCCCTGCACTTATCGATTTATGCTCCATGACTATTGTTCATCGCTTTTCCAGTCCTGAATGGCTCAAGTGTCTTCGCTCACATGTTGCCGCACTGCATAGTTCAGGATCCAATTCTCAGGATGTTGAGTCAATGAGAGGAGATGTGTTCAAGGAAATTGTAACATTACGAGTGGGTGAAGCATTATTGTTCGCACCCGAAGCAATGATCTACAAGGATTGTGATATGATCAACTTATCACCCGGAGATGAATCTGTCGATACGATGATGTTGAGCATCAATGGCGAGAGTAGTAAAAGTTCAAAGAAAAAGGGGAAGGCGATCGAGAGAGATGATGGAAATTATGGACAAGCGTTGAGAAAGTTGGGAACTGATTATGTTAAGATAAAGGTGAGAGCTAGGCTCACTAATGATGGTGGAAGGAGCGTTTTAGCTGCTTGATTCTATCGGGGAATGGCTAATTCACAATCAAAGAGCCAATATTCTTTGCCAAGCGGTCGGAGATGCAACACTTTCAATTATCTGAAGGCGACGATTTGATAACTTCCTGTAATAGTGTGTTGATGGAAAACTGCTTTTTTTATTTTTTAATATCTTATTTCCTAGGAAGGACGAAGGGTAAACAACTGGTGAAGGGGGCCATGAATGTCAACGAACAATTGAACATCAATTCTCTAGTACTTAGATCACCAATTTGCTCGAAAACTTTGGCCAGCAAAATGAAGTTTACGCTTGTTAAGAACTCAAACTTCCTAGCCCAAATGCTTCATCCTATCATGCCTCGTTCTTTCCGCAATACTATATCAAAGCCTCCCCACTTCTTCTGTCAAAACACACCATGATGTAACGACGGAGATTTACGTACCCCATCTCTCCTGAGTGGGTAATATCTATATCCCAATATTTGTGTAGGTAAGCAATACGGGTATTCTAATAGGATACGTTTACATCACAGTTGGAGACAAGCAAAATAGCTTCAGAAAAATACTACTAACGACCGTCAAGTGCCGAATTAGCTCAAGTAAGTGCCAGAATGATAGATCTTGGGAGATATGTACCGATACACCCCCCACATTACCCATCATTCAATGAGCAAAGTATCTTCAGCTTGTCATTTAATTGCCGATTGTATCTTCGTCATGCTTTTTTCACACTAAGGATATCCCATTCCCATAAGACTTCGACTCCCCCACAAGATTTTTGGAGTGCCCTTCTCGCTCTCTTCATATTTTTGAGGTCTAAGGTTCTTTTTGGATATAATTTGAGGCTGGAAACTTATGATATAATTTTTAGTTAATTTTTAATATCCAATTGAAATTCATCATCTAATCTATCTTTAAACATATCCATCCACCCATCCACAACTATCAACATATATACATAAACACAATGACTCAACCCTCAGGCTCCTCTCATCTCCAAGTCCCTCACTTCGAGCAAACAAATCTATCCCAACAAACCTTCGTCACCGCACCCGAGACCTCAGAATATAATCAAAATGTCTCAACCCCCCAAAACTCATCTCTCGATCCCAACTCTCCTCTCCGAAACCCCACAACGTCCAACGAAACCATCCCCCTCCACCTCACCCCCCCAACTCGATTTTCCTTCCCTCAACAATCCTCCCGTTTCTCCGAAGACTTCTCCTCTTCCGAATCCACCCACCACAACTCAAACCAGCATTCCCGCTCCACCTTCCAAACCCTCACCAACACCCACTCTCGCCCCAATAATCAAGGCTACAACGAATCCCAAGAAGAAAAAAGCGACACCGCAACCCGAACCACAACCTCTCCCCAACACATCCATTTCCGCTCCATGACCTGGCTCCACTGCGCCTTCATCATGATCGCCGAAACCATCTCTCTCGGAATCCTCGCTCTCCCCTCCGTCCTCTCAACCATCGGTCTCGTTCCCGGTCTCATCCTCATTATCAGCATGGGGATCCTAGCCTGGTATTCCGGACTCCTGATCCATCGCTTCCGCACCGCCTATCCCTCGATACTTTCCTGGGCCGATGCATGTTCAATCTTACTAACACCGTTGGGAATACCAAATGTGGGAAGAGAAATGGCGGGGGCGGCGCAAATTTTGTTTTTGCTGTTTTTGATGGCGAGTCATATACTCACGTGGATTATTTGTTTGGATACGTTGACCGGGGGGAAGGTGTGTAATATTGTGTGGGGAGTGGTGGGGATGGGTATTTTTTGGATACTCGATTTGCCGCGGACGTGTAGGGGGATGAGTTGGTTGAGTATTGTTTGTAAGTATTTTGGTTTGTTTCTTCTTGTGATGTTTTGTTTAGAAGTAGATGTTGAGTATCAAATGTGAGGTTGAGAGAAAACGGATGAAAAAGAGGAAATAAGGATGGGAATGGAGTGGGAATATGAATAAAGATAAGACAAAAGCTAATCAATGTTAATAAATAGCATTCGCAAGTATAGGAACCGCGGTCATCATCACCATGATATCCGTCGGCGTTCGAGCACCCACTGAAAAAACTTACTCGCTATGGCCTAAGAAAGATCTCTCTGTTCGCGAAGCCTTTTTGAGCGTAACGAATATCGTATTCGCTTATGGTATGCATACTTATCTCCTCCCCATCCCCAATACATACATACATACGTACCCATCCACTCCATCTCTCCCTTCCCCTCAACTCAAATTCCAAACCCCAACTAACACCCCTCTGCCACAGCCGGCCACATCGCCTTCTTCACCTTCATCTCCGAACTGCGCACCCCCTCCGACTTCCCAAAGTCCCTCGCCACCCTGCAAACCATCGAAATAGCCCTCTACCTCCTCTCCTCCATCCTCATCTACATCTACACCGGCTCCTCTATTTCCTCTCCCGCCCTCCTCTCCGCCGGTCCTCTCCTCTCCAAAATCGCGTTCGGAATCGCTATTCCCACGATTGTGATCGCGGGCGTGATATTTTGTCACGTGGGGTCGAAATATATTTTTCTGCGCATCTTTACCGGGACGCCGCATGCGGAGACGAGGACAAAAAGAGGATTGGTGGCGTGGTTAGGGATTACCGGGGGATTGTGGGTCCTGGCTTGGATCATTGGGGAGAGTGTGCCGGGGTTTAATGAGTTGTTGGGGTTGGTGAGTAGTTTGTTTGCGAGCTGGTTTACGTATGGTTTGCCCGGGGTGATGGGGCTGTGGTTACAGTTGGGAAATGGGAGAGGAGGAGGGAGATGGGGGAGATGGGGAGGAATGCTGGTTAATGGGTTGTTGGTGGGAGTGGGAGCGGTACTTTGTCGAATGGGGGTTTGGGCTAGTGGGGTGGGGATTAGGGAGACGAGTCAAAAGGGAGGAAGTTGGAGTTGTGGGTAGATTTGTTGATGGAGGAATAGAATGGAAAGAAGGGAATTTGTTGGTGATTTAATGTTTAATGTGTAGTGTTTGAGTTTTTAATCTGATCACATTTCTATGAATCTACTCTCCGAACTTCAATTTCCCAAAGATATTGATAGAGAATAAAAGAGAATATTAAGATAGAAAAGAATAGAATATAATAGAGATACGAGTACTTTCATTTCATCTCGAATACTACATACTGCATTGAAATGTGAGTTTAATAATTTGAAAAGGATAGATAGGTATATGTGAATAAATAGATGGATGGATAGAACATTTTGATTCCCGATTCTTATTGACAGAGACAGGAATAAAAATAATCTCTCCAAATTTTGTGTTTTGTATTATACTTGGATCGTGGGGTTTGATTTGGGATTTTGCGTTGTACTCGAGTAGATATCAATGAACGAATGGTCTAGGTGTGTATTTTTGGTGTATGGATTTTTGTCTCATGATTATAAGGGGGTTCTGGTATGGTACGATATGACACAAAACAACACAACACAACGTACACTTGCAGAGAGATATCAAAGGATGACATGAAACTTTTTCAATGCGGATTCCAGGAGGAAAAGAGGGAAGGAAGGAGGAAAGATAAGATGTAACCCGGCATTATCATACCGAATGCGGGATTGGTATACATAGATAGGTGTTTTTCAATGTGAAATCGGTAGACAAATATAGAGGGGCAAGAAATTTAATTCCGATCCTTCATTATCAGTGATGTGATAGGGGATGTAAAAATGTAGAAAAATACTTACGGTAGGAGGTGATATTCAAGAGGTCGAGGACTAGCTGGTGGGTGTCTAGGTAGTTGTGCTTGAAGCGAAGACAAGAAATATTATCACATCGTCAGCGAGCGACCTGATAATTGAGACTCGAAAAATTGAGGAAAAAATCGAAGTCCCGAGTTACATACCGAGTTACGTTTCCCTCGGTGTGATGTACAGTAATTGATGTCCCACAACACATCCATTCATTCCGACCTACATAACCCCTCGATGTCGAACTATCGAATACAACGACGAGTCATGAAAGAAAGGTACCTAATAAAAAGTCATCACCCCTAAAGAATTTTCCTGTGAAACCACCACCATCATCACCATTAAAATAACACCAAACCCAACTTCTGCATCCAAAGATTCTACGGAAATCCCGCAAAATCATCACTTGATTCAGTTCCTGATTCTAGACCCATCTCCACTACACTCGACCTACCTTGAAGATCTATCGAGTCCTACGACAGACATACCTAAGGCTGATATCAAATCCCGTTGATATCTCAACACAAGAGGTACCTACCTATGCTTATCGTTTCACAGCCTTTGCATGCATAGAAACGCAATGAAGGAATGAAGGAATGAAGGAATGACCGAGTGCATCAAATAAGTCACCCTACAGAAAATACCTCAGAACAGCGCAGAAATAAATGGAGAAGAATTGGGAATCCTGACTCTTAGAAATCCCTCTCGTGCGACTGAGTATATTTATCTAATAATTCTCACCTAATGAGAAGACGCAGATGTCATGTTCTGCATACACTCACTGCACTGCAGATTGGAAATTGAGGTAAGGTAAGGTATGGTGATTGTGATCAGATGAATAGAACAGATAGACTGGGCGACATATTTTGATAATATTGGATTGGAATATTGGATTCCTGAGAATGTTGAAAGGGGGAGGGAATCCTGTGTTTGAATGTGTTTGTATGTATGTTTTGGTCACGACATCGTAACATGATGTGATATGATATGATATGATAGGATTATTGAATTATATTGGAATGAAATGGAATAGAAATATTCAATACTTTTGGTGTTTTGATACATGAGGTCGAGGGAGGTGAATTGATTGAGCGATGAATGATCCGCTGAGTAATCGGCAGTAAGTGGAGTGAGTGGCAGTATTTTCCAAGAGTGGCTGAGTTCTGAGTGGCTGAGTTCTGAGTGGCTAGATATTGTCATTGCCACAATCATTGCCACAGTATACCCAATGTCTGTCTTACTTACATCGTATTGTCGGTATTTCAGAATCGAGAAGAAGTAAGTATCTATCGTACAGAATGGAGTAGCGACAAGAATCGGATGATCGTCCCTATTACAGAATTTTCCTGTATTAATCACTCTTCAGCTCCTTCTTCTACTTTTTATTGGTGGGGACTCCGATACCACATTAATTTTTCCTTGTGAAAATAAAAGAGAAGGAGAAAAATCCTTCCATGTTGTGCCCATCCTCTCTGTCCCTCTCTCTCGTCTGTGCTGTAACGCTGCATCACGGCCGAATCTGTACAGAGTAATGTCTGTGATCAACATCATACTAAAATATCATTATCATTGGCTTGTCACTAGCCCAGTCAAATCATGAATCCATGAAATCCATGAAATGCATCAGAAACATGACTAATGCAGACAAGGTATTACTTCCGCTCTGTTGCTCCGTTCGTACTACTCACTCCACTCTATTCACGCCACTGCAGGTGACAAAAGATTCCAAGCAGAGGGATGCAGTGAATGGACGACAGATGACCTAGAAAGGAGGCTAGACTAGTCTACCTAGTCGCGTAGTATACATCGGTACCTGCTTTTAGCAGTTACCTAGGTAAAGTTAGAAATAAACGCGGATATCGTCATGCGTTCCCGGTTCATTGGCTTTGCATTTTTCATGCAGATTTATTGTTTACCACCTATGTAGGTAGATAGACAGGTACATACGTATGCCTGATATGTGCAGCCGCCGAGAACTTTGGCGCTTGTTTGTTTTTCACTACTCGTATGGTGGATACCTAGATGCCTGACAGTGAAGACGGAGAAGAGGACCCAGAAACTGGATGGGCGAGATCAGAAAAAAAAAACCATGGATTCTTTTCCAGCCCAGTCTTACTAGCACGGCCACTTCCCCATATACATCAAATACCTCACATGAATGGTCAATCCACTTACAACCGCATGGTACCTGAATAAGGGTAATAGGAAAGGTCCCGAAAGCATCGACCAATCATCATCACATTATGCATTATCGGCAAAAGTATGGCTTTGAAACATGAAACACAGAGATGCAAGATGGGGTTCGGATGATGAATTTTGGTTTCCCTCTTCAACGAATAGAGTTAAGGAAGATAAAATCCTTTCGGGGTGTCCTAGGCTCGTGCCGGGGTGAGATTGTTGATGGAGAGATTGACTCCGTACGAATGAGATGATAGAAGAGGGAAGAGGGGAGGTTTGGGGTGATTACATGTTTCGTACATACCTAGGTAGGTAGATATCTTTGGCTCGGATGATGATCTATGGAACGGTATTGGCAAATTGGGGGTTTAAATCCTATCGATATTGTTCGTATATTGGCTTGTATGGTGTATACATACCATTGCGTATATAATAAAAAGTTATTATGCTTACTCGTACAGTACAATTGAGATATTGGCAGTCGGCAATTCTATCATCTGTCATGTCTATTCCTGCCTTTAGGTTTTCACAAATCGTCATTTTCCATCACTGTAATTAATTAATTGTTTATTCTGCTCTGCTTTGTTTTGCTTCGCTTTGTTTTCCTTGGAAAAAATAAAAATAGTTACATTTTTTCCAAGATTCACGATTCCCTTTTCAGTCGAATATGGAGATGGAGGGGCAAAGGAATACGATGCACACAGACTGGTTTCTATCTCTCTCCAGTGTTGCATGAAAATGAACAAGCAGCTCACGTTTGTGGCTCAGTAAAACCCACAAAAAGCTTCAAGGCGGCATTCAGCTGATTGGGGGGGGTTTGTTTTCTTCCCCCTTTTTGGATTTTAGTTGTCTTTATTTTTTGTCGTTCTTGTTGCGAAAATCTGTCGGTATATGATCAATTGTTGAATTAATTGTTAAATTCTAGCCTCAAGTGATACTTATCCCATACAATTCTTCTCTTTTTTTCAAAATTAAATACTCTTTCGATGTTAGCATCTAAAAACCATATCCGGAGAATAATCCACCCATACAATCAGATTTCTTAACGCCTCATAGAAGCTGGCCCGCTTTGGTCGACCATGTACTTTATTTTGTGGGACCTAATCCGTATACACACATGCAGCTACTGACCACCGGCAAGGAATGTGATCTGCCTTACTGGTCCACCAAAGAAGGCCTACGATAAAAAGCTTCGCAAATCAGGGGATCCACCGCATTCCTAATTGGATCCTATCCATGCACAAACTAACGTCCCATGAATCTTGTACTTGAGTTGCTCCTAAACTCTTATGGCTTGATGGACCGAGTTCTGGCGGTATGAGATATAAGATGTTGATAACTTCCTCCTCCGGTCTTTTTTTCATCATCGCATCTACTTCTCCACCACATCAAACCTTTCATTCTCTTAAGGTCCATTTGCTTGACGCAAAATACTCTCGACGAGTCATTCCTTCATTCTTGTTCTTGCCTACAATCATTCATCTTGATTCTTCACATACTACACATTGATCTTCATCGTTAGATCTATATTCATATTCAAATTTTGAGTCAAAGTCGAATTCAATTTCACCAATCAAATTCACCAATCAAATTTCAATATGTTTACCCTTCCTTTATTCTTGGTCGCTGGCGGCCTTTTCACTCTTTCTATGGGAGCTCCCATTGAACAGCGTACTACAAGTTCTTACACTGTTTACTCTGGTGATGGAGATACTTCAGTTGGATGGCCAACTGAGAGTGATTGGATTTCGAGTTTCGATACCATGTATGTTCATATCAATCATCCAAAAGATCTCCAAAGGTCCAACCTACTAACAAACCCTCAGGTTCGATAATCAAAACAGTGTTTTGAAAGCTTCATGTACCCAATTCGGTGTCGACAACAACTCCGATGATGAGATCTCTGATCTCAAATCCGCCATCTCTGAAGTTGCCGAGACTACTGGTATTGATTCTCGTTTCATTCTTGCTATCGTCATGCAAGAATCCAATGGATGTGTTCGAGCTCCAACAACTGTCTATTCCATCTCTAACCCAGGACTTATGCAATCTCACGAAGGATCTGGCTCTTGCAATAGCGGCTCTTCTGTTCAAAATCCTTGTCCAAAGAGCGAAATGGTTCAAATGATTACCGATGGAACAGCCGGTACTTCATCCGGTGACGGACTCGCTCAATGTCTTAAGGAGAGTGCTGCTACCGATGTTTCAAAATATTACAAGGCAGCTAGAATTTATAATTCTGGTTCGATCGACTCATCTGGAAATCTTGGAGATGGAGTAGCAACTCATTGTTACGCAACTGATGTTGCCAATCGTCTTACAGGATGGTTTACTGGAACTTCTTCGTGTGATAGCGCTACCATTGGTTCATTGACTGGTGGAGCTGCTTCTGCTGGTTCCAGCGCAGTTAGCTCTGTGGTTTCGGTTGCAAGTTCGGTGGTTAGCTCTGTGCTCTCTGAAGCTACTTCGATATTGTCTGTTCCTACCTCTGCTTACGCAGTTCCAACATATGTTTCTATCGGAGGTATATTTGCTCAAGCAGGTACTTCATCCTCATCTTCTTCCGTCGTCGCAACAGTTACTTCCGCCGTTTCTGTCCCAACAGCCGCTTCATCCTCTTATTCATCTTCTTCTATCACTGCAGCCATTACCTCCGCTGTAGCCACCTCTGCAATCCCTATCCCAATAATCGCTTCCTCAAACTCCACCTCCGCACTCACAACCTCAATCCCCACTCCTTCTCTCCCCGCAACCGTCACCACCGCCACCATTTCCCCCACCTCCTCCATCGCCATCACCTACCCCTCCGCATCTTCCTCCTCTTCAAACAGCACCACCCACACCCCCGGAACCGAATGTGCCACTTCCGGCACATGGAATTGCATCGACGGAACAACTTTCCAACAATGTTCATCGGGTACTTGGTCGAGTGTTGGAGGATTAGCTGCAGGGACGCAGTGTACCGTGGGCGAGGGTGATATCATCAATATCTTTGCTACAAATTCTGAACGTAAGAGAAGTTTGGGAGTTGGAGCGGAGAGGAGAGGGATGAGACACACTCATATGCATGGGTTTAAGAGAAATGTTTTGTAGATTTTGGGGGCTTTTTTACAGGGGGTTTTTTCACTTCTTTTGATGATGATGATGATTACCTTTATCATCTCGCCTTTGGGCATTTATCTTCTTCAATTTTTCACTTTTTTTCTTTTTTTCACTTCTTCTTCTTCAACAAACACTTAGGGTTCGGACGGGTTTAGGATGGATGAACAGGCCGATATCACAACACACCACATCAAACCACATCACATCACACTACACGATACAACGAGATGGGCTGAAACGGGATGGAACAGGATGCGTTGGGCAGGGATACAATGAAAGCATAGGGACGGAAAAGAAAGATATGAAACCTGGTGTTTCTCTTTCATGTGCGGTTTGGAACGGAAGGTAGATGGGATGGAGTATTGTGTATAGGAACTGAGAGGGAGGGAGGGGTTTGACAGAGTAGTATGGATCTTATACTTACTCGTATACAAAACCACAATAAAGAATCGAAATCAAATTTCTCGGATAATAACTCATCTACCTACTCTTGAATTTTGTAACCAAATGTGATGTGATATATCTCGTCTTATCTCTTTTCTCACTTATTTTTTCTAGAATCTCACTGGATAAGTTATAAATATGAGGGAATCATAGATGCTAGGTATGATGTAAGGAGACAAGAATATAGATATAAATGTCAATACTGTGGGTAGCGATGAGGTAGGAAAGAATGTGAATGGAATGTATGGGATGTATGGATGGAGAGTAAGTATTTCTTGCGCTCACTCATTCACTAGTGAGAACTAAAATTTCATAATTGGAGAGTTGAGAAATGTCATTTATTCTTGCTTTGCAGTCTGGGAAGGAATTGGAAATATCGCGGAGTGAAGCGGGGAGTACATATCTAGATTTTGGATTTTGGATTTTGGAAGAGAAGCGAGAAGGGAGAAGGGAGAAGGGAGAAGCTAGGGGCAAGGGGTAAGAGGTGAAGAGGGAATAGTGAAGAGTGAAGAGTGAATAGTGTTATTGAATGGGAATTAATGTGAGAATGAGAATGAACATAGGCATAGGCATGGGTATAGTACTTCTCACTACAAATCCTAGAATAAAGGAAGGAGGGAAAAATTATTGTTCACAGGGAGTTGAGCTGCTTTACTCACTATCTATCTCTCAATTTTTCTATCTGGTCAGTCTTTCTAGTACTTTCCCCCCGGATCGGCAAATCTCGGGAATGCGAATCGAGGATTGGAAATAGAAGTTAGGCAACTGAATTCTGAATTCTGAATTTTAATTTTGACATAGAGTTGTGTTGCGGGAATATGAAAGATCTGGGCAAGAAAGTAGAGATGAGAAGAAATTGATGGATGTAAAGGTCGGGGAAGGTAGGGAAAACTCGAAAAGGGAGGAGTGTTTGTCTACACGTATGTTTGTGTGTGTAAGTTTTTGTCTGGATTTGCATGAAGCTTTTTTCCCTACACATGTTGAGCGGGAATGGAAGATCGTAAGAGGTCAGATACTGCGAGTTTTGGGGAATGCCTTGGCCTGATGATCGTATCTTGGAATACCTACCTACCTACGCAATAAATCCCATCCAACTACGACGGGGAAGATGCTCCGGAAACTATTGTTCCTGAGAATCTAGGGGTTAAGGAATAGAAATGGATGGATGGTTCTGGACGATCTTTGAGTTTGGAGTGGAGAACTAAGGTTTGAGGATACGGGATAAGAGGATTGTGAGGGGTGAGATGTTACGTTATATGTTTGAAACGATAAGCTGTCTTCTTTTGATGATTATACACTGAAGATTCGATAAGCGGCTCTTGGAACACTTACCCGAGAAATCGTCTTGCTTGTATCTGGAGTTAACGGATATAGACTGTTTAGATCATCCATGTTTTGGAAGGTCCCCGAGCTTGAGGAAGAGGTTGATTCAGAAAGTTTGATTCTGCATATATGTCACCTGGCATTGATAGAATCTCGATATCTAGGACTAGATATTTGGTCGTGAGGATCTGAATCTGGTTGTGGACAGCGATTTGAGTCTATCTGTATGACTCATTGTTCTAGATTTTCTCATCCACAAGTTCGCTGTTACCACTGATATGATCTGATCTGCATCGAGAACCCGACACGTTGTTTTCCCTACCCGAGATATCCGGATCTACAAAATTTGTACAGAATTTGTTAGATTGACGAACAAATTTTCAATATTTACAAATCTCCATAATAGGAAGTTTCTACCGACATCTATATCTAATGCAAGTCTACATCTCCATCTCCATCTACATTAATAATTCCAGACGAAACTAGACTCTTCACATAAAATAACTAAATTCTCCAAACGAGAATTTTTAGCGAGGGTCCCCTGAATGGATTTCAGATTTTCGAGAACTTACCCCGCGTACTAATTTAGTGTCTGGGGTTAGTGGCAGTAGTACATGCTAGACTTTTTGGGATTAGGGGTTGGGGTGGGGGTTGGTGAGATGGTGTAATTAATTATACTTGGGTAGGCAGGTAGGTGTAAGGATAGGGATTGGTTGGGTATGCATCGATGGATTTAGAGATTTTATTTTATTTAATAGAGTGATTTGTGTATTGGAAATCAGGGGATGAGGATGTGAATTAGAATGATGAGTAGGATATGATTGAATTGTATTGGTTGTGAGGATTGAAAATCCGGAGTTGGGAGTCCGGAGTCGAAAGTTGGCGATGCTGATTTTGAAACGATTCACTAAGAGATGATGTACTAGGAGATTATTTACGTAAGTGCATGCGGAAAACTTAGTCTTGTTCCGCCTGGGTGAGGATGAAAAATTTGATGCAGCTCTTGGTATTCTGGTGTATAAGGTGTATTCGATAGTGTAGACAAGATCTTCAAAAGAGAATGCAATAGAATTGGGCCTGTGTGATTGTATATCAGAATACGAGGTTACTATTGAAATTGAAATGTAGAATAGTTGTTCAATAGTATGCTGCATCTACTCGAGTAATACTATCTCCTGGACTTACCGAATCGACAATCTTATTGAGTAGACGGTTTAGAACCGACAACCGAGAATCTGTAAACGAGACTTCGTTAAAATCCCCCAAATATAGTTAGTATGATACAAAGAGGCCACGATGAGCAAGATCTTGCTGTTGAATGGTGCATGTACAGTAGTCAAATGGCTCAAAATGATAGCAAACTTAGCTGCACTCATCACAAATACATACACTATTTACTGAGATAAATGTCCATTCAACAGCCTAGAAATTAGACTGCAACATTTGCTGAGAAAAAGAATCGGAATGCTCATCTAATAGTCCAGAGTTTAGACTGCCATGAGAATGCAAATGATCAAGAAAAAAATTTCAGTCTTTCCCAAGCGTTGAGATAGTTTTCACAATCAAATTAATTTGGAATAATTAACTGGTAAGATCAAGACCACAATGGTTACTTCGGAATCCCAAGACTAGATTTGTAAAAATTGCAGTTTGGAAGAAATTTTGGAAGTGAGGGGATGAATTGTCAAGAAATTAGAATTTTTCGAAAAGTGACTCTAGTACATGCTGATCTCCTATCTACAGTAGGGCACCAGCGGAATTTTCAAGCTACTAGTAAATATCTTGATCATCTGAGGAGAAGATTTTTCACGTCCAAGATTGAGAAGCTAATCAATTAGCTCGTTGTAAATCATATAAAAGGCTCGAAATCCCTCTGTGGAAATCCCTTTCCGTTCCTGCAGACACATTCAGACTTCCATTTCGTACAACCAATAACCTGTTACCAACAACACACAAAAACACAACAACATCCAAAAACACAACAACATAACAACACAACGACAAACATCACAATGTCTTCTAACTCTAACAACACCCCACTCACCGCTCTCGAAGCGAGAGTCTTAGACCTAATTGACGTTCACCTTCGTTTCCTCGCCCTTGCACCCCCTCCACCATCACCAAGGGCACCTAGACAACAACCCACAGCTCCGCGACCAACCGACGAGTATTACTATCAAACTTCCCATCAACAGCAACATCGTCGACAGAGAAGGAACCCGGCCGCCCAACGACCCAGAGTTACTCAACAACCCAGAGTTGCTCAACAACCCATAGTTACTCAACAATCTAGAGTTGCTCAACAACCCAGAGTAACTCGACAACTCACAGCTCGCGAACTAGCCGACGAGCGATGGTATAGAGAAGCTCTCCGTCAACATAACGAAGAATTAGAGAATGAAGCTGCGCGACAACCAACCCACGACCACCCCCATGACGAAGCTGACCATCATTATCTTCAACAAGAATGGTATATGCTCTTGTCGCCCGAAGAAGAAGCTCTCTATCAACAATTTCAACAACATTTGAGGATTCTCGGTTTACCAAACATCGACGAAGAAGCTGAATATGAACAATTTGAATAATCGTGTTCTTGATTAGTTTGGTTTGTTTTGACTTTTCTGATTTCCTGACTTTTGATTTTCTGACTTTTGCTTTTCTTTTTTGATTACTTTTTTGATTACTTTTTTGATTACTTTTTTGATTACTTTTTTGATTACTTTTTTGATTACTTTTTTGATTACTTTTTTGATATTTTCTTTGTATTCAATTCTGTGTATTTCACTTTTATTCATTGATTTTTAATCATTCTTGTATCTTCATAGATCTCGAATTTGTTCGCACTTGTATCCTTGCATGTTTTTGACTTTCTTCATATAGACGAGTCGTTTAGGTTTCCCCATCAAGATGGGGTTTCCCTACTCGCTTGGCCGAATGGCGCTCGTATGAACCAAAATAACAAAAAATTGCCAACACTGCTGTCTGCGATGGTGATATGCTTAATTAATCGTGATCTGACAATATATGTGTATGTGAATGACATGTAAATAACCTCACTTTCATGACAAACTCTAAAAATGATTATGTGATTTTTCTATGTGATCCTTTCGGGGAAGTAATGTATTTCGATTGGTCATCGTAAGCTGCTTAGTTCATATTATTAGACTTCTTGAGTAGGAAATCTAGGCCGTGACAGGTCTAGTATCTTTATCAGGTATATTTCTTTCGTGATTATTGGTTGTAACAAGCTTAATTCTATACGTAGTTCAAATAGAGGGGAACAGATATCGTTATGATAAGATTGTGGTGCTTCTCCATACACTTTTGCTTCTTGAGACAAATCATAAGAATCACGTTCCATTTACAATCCAAATTACCATCGCGTATAATCTTCATCGATTTTACTCCGCCTATCTGGAGGAGTGTGTGATCGGAGAATCACCAAACAACTACACAAAGCAGTCCCTACCGTGAAGAACACCACTGGCGCCTCAATATCGAACAATTCGGTGAATCAACGATTGGAATTAAGCAACTGAGGAATTTCCAAGGAGGAGTCATAGCTAGAATGAGCACACTCGCAATTTATAAATCTGGCCTTTCCTTTCTCGGAAGAAATGACATTTAAGCACTTGTGACACTTCGTTGTGCTCATGATTCTCATTTTATCTTCTCCCACTTAGAAGATGATCTCACACCAGAGTAGCAAGGATGAAAATAACAGAAGTTCGAACGAATCCATCAATTTAAGTATTTCCCAATCAATTGCAAATAGATATTCAGTATGGGATGTGATACATTGAAGCTACAAATGCGTAAGAATGAGATTTGATACCTGGTTTGTGAAAACACGGCTGGCTAAAGTTATGAGTATTAAGGCAACGGCAGTAAGCCTTGGGAGCAAGAAATCGACTGGCAACTAGGCGATAAGGATTTACCATAACAAATCAGTAAACATGGTATAGCAACGGAAAATCTCTTGAGAGGTCGTTCCAAATCATTGTTATGTAGGGATTCTGAAATTCTCGAATGACATGTAGATTAGATGAAGTATAAGTAATTGAAGCATCATTATACTGTTTAGTGATTTAATATAAAGTGTTTGGCAACGAGGACACGACGTGGATACTTGACATAAGGAGTTGAGTCTTCAATAGAGAGGTGATTGGGGGGAGACGTTGTTTGAATATTAGTTGCTTACTAATCAACGCGGCCGCGTCGGCTTTCATTCAATTTAATCAATCCCCGCGATATCATCATAATGCTTCAATCATGCGACGCGTTGTGGTAACAGGCCTTGGAGCCATAACACCATTAGGTGTAGGGATTCGACCTACATGGAGCCGTCTTCTCGCAGGAAATTGTGGTATTGTTTCGCTACCCACGAATTATTTCGAAACCTCACAGCGAGAAAGTCTTCCTAGCACAATAGCTGGTCTTGTGCCATCTGGTAATGATGCGAAAGATTCATGGCGAGCTTCAGATTGGTTAGAGAAAGGAGAAGATTCACGAATGGCCAAATTTACACAATATGCGATAGCAGCTACGGAAATGGCACTTCAGGATGCAGGATGGAAACCACAAAAACAAGAGGATAAAGAATCTACCGGTGTTTGCCTTGGTAGTGGTATTGGGGGATTGGATGAGCTTTATACTGCTAGCAACAATTATTCTAGAATGGTAATACATCTTCTTTTTGTGATGAAAATATTAATTGAGATTTTTATAGGGCTACAAATCAGTGTCCCCTTTCTTCGTACCAAAACTCCTCATAAATCTCGCGGCAGGTCATATATCAATGAAATATGGATTTGAAGGCCCGAATCATGCAGTTACAACCGCTTGCACAACTGGCGCACATGCAATTGGCGATGCATCCCGATTTATCGCTTTTGGAGATGCAGATGTGATGATCGCCGGTGGTTCTGAGTCTTGCATACATCCATTAGCTTTTGCCGGCTTTGCTAAAGCTCGTTCACTCGCTCGAAAATATAATGACAATCCAGAATCATCCTCCCGTCCTTTCGATCGAGATAGATGTGGTTTTGTTATTGCAGAAGGTGCTGGAGTTGTTGTTCTAGAGGAATTGGAACATGCTAAAGCCCGCGGAGCTGAAATATATGCCGAAATACGTGGATATGGTTGTAGTGGTGATGCACATCATATTACTGCTCCGAAAGAAGATGGAGCTGGTGCATTCTTAGCGATGAAAAGAGCTCTTAAGAATGCTGGGATCTCACCTCGAGAAGTCGATTATATTAATGCCCATGCTACAAGTACACCTCTAGGTGATGCAGCCGAAAATGCTGCAATTACAAGATTGATGCTTGGGGAGGAAGGGCTTGATACCGCGAGTCAGATTTCAGTCAGTAGTACCAAGGGTGCTATTGGGCATTTGCTAGGTGCTGCTGGTGCCGTGGAAGCCATTTTTTCAATCTTGGCTGTGAAAGAGGTACAACATGATATCATATGCGATTTCTAATTACTGACTGTTTCCTAGAACATACTTCCACCCACACTCAACCTACATAATCCAGATGAAAACATGAATTGTAATTATGTCCCCTTTTCAGCACAAGAAAAAGAAGTCAAAGTTTCAGTATCTAATAGCTTTGGCTTTGGTGGTACGAATGCCTCACTCGCTTTCTCAAAGTATAGCTGAGATGTCGAACGTAATCGACTTCATTCGAGCCCAACCTCCCAATATGTACCCAAATGTCTCACCTCTCTGTACATTCCAGCTACGGGCTCATTCTCCATTTCGATAGGTATGAAATTGAGGTGTTCCGATCCATGTCATGTCAGGATCCTCACCATATGGTATTAATGGAACCCAAGTCAAATGGCTTAAACATTGTATGCATTATCGAATCTGGTCAATGCAGTTATCTGGGTTGATATAGGTGGACAACGTGATACATCGCTGTTAGCCTTGAAAATACCAATGGACAACCTTGTTGTTCTAGTAATTCACTATGCATGTCGTAATCGGCATAATTTCCCGGTATAGTATCAATGTGGACTCTGGTCATAAAGTAAGGATACCAACCAAAAAATGTAAGGAATGCACCACTGCAAGTCTATAAAATTGTCAGTCAATATTTACATCGGATGTGTGAAGTTTCATACTCAATAAAATAGTGATCGTTTATTTGAACCGAACTTTCTAATAGAGATACATCTTCGGCTTCTTGCATGTCTTTCTTTCCTTGTTGGCTGTGATGATTCACTTGCCTTCTTGAGATTCATGGGAATTCAGGATGTTGTATACGGTTGATAAGTCTTTGGTTAAAGTAAATTTGTTTCGCCCATGAATTCGTTGCATCACAAAGATGATATGTAGCACTCGTAGGAGTCGGATGGGGGGCACGTGTAATACTATTTATTGTCTATTGCACAATGATGTTAGACCGCCCGTATCAAGAAATGAAGTAAAACTAAGAAATGTATTGAGGATCGACACTTTTTTATCGTTATCAGACGTGCCAATGTTTTCCAAATCAATGTTATGGCTTGCTTCACTTGTTATTGTAAGATGTGCGTTCAAGTTAGGTATTCAGTATTCTCCTCATCAATTACAAAGATAGTTCAGTGTTCATTTATTGACCCTCACTTCGCTTTCACAGTCAAGCATATCGTACGTAAACTTTTAAACACTGTCCTTCATTTTCGGGACATGAATTCATCCCATAATCAATTTCGTGACGCCTTTTACTATTCTATACCCTTCTAATAAAAGAGTGAAGTCGGCTGAACTTATTATGTTATTATGATTATCTCTCGAGAGCCAGCATAGGCTGCAACTACTCTGTTGAAACCTTTCCTAGTCCCAGAGTACCGAGGCTCAGCTACGCCTTCTTCACTTAAGGAAGGAAGGAATTGATTTACGAGACAGGACAAAGAACGTCAGAGTTTATTGACCATTCGTTTCTTGCGTAATGATGCAGAGTGAATACAATGTGATATCGGACTCCCAATCAGTTGATCATTCCGATTCGAAATGTCACTTTGGGGATTGCCATCTGTGAAATGGATTTGTTGTTAATGTTACATATTCGCACCATCAACTGCATTCGCCAAAGATTTTTGACCAAATAATTTGACCACTCACAATTCTCAATATGCGCCCAAATGCCATTACAATTTTTCTAGGACTGGCGATTTTGGAAGCAGCAGGATGTCATCCTATTTTGGTAGATTACCTTTGTTTTCTTTCATTCGTTGACTGGGTTCCGAGTACAGAAGTGGAAGTACATGTTAACAGTCTCTATATGATAGAAGCCAACCGCAAATAATAGTACAAATGCGATCCTTAATCGCGACGGCACACCTGCGATTGTATCTGGCGCTCCCGTCGATACCATTTCAGCTGTCGCTGATCTGCTGGGTGTAGCTGTGGGTAAACTATCACCCATCCGTAAGAGATCCGAGTTATTGTCCGGTGCCACCAAAAGAGATCGAAAGCGGAATAATCGGATAGATAATCCGAGCCCCCCTACTACCATTTACGGAGACAGAGAAACCCACAATAATGACCATGACGACCATTACCATGATTCCCGGATCAAACAAAAGAGATACGCCGACTCTCATAGGAGGAGTTCTTATAGGAGCACGCAGGGAAGATTTCCAATCGCCAAAGGCCGAAGAGATCATGAAGAGAGAATCTGCAGGCCATAGTCGAGCTGAAAATTTCAGTCCCTCGCTTACCCTTGATAAACGAGATGATCCAGATTCATCGAACTCTGTGCTTGGTCTTTGGGGATCATACTAGGTGATATTACATCCGCTATTGGTGTTCAACATGCAGGGTCTCCTTCAGGTTGATGAAATCTGCAGCGGGACTTTGGATATCACTGTGTGACGAGGGAGTGTATGGAGGGAGAATATATTGCTATTTGATACACGAGAATTGAAATAGGTGGTGCTTTATTTGAGATTGATTGATGAATGTGAAAGATTGAGGCCTTCACTGTATGAAAGATACCGTCGTGAATTCTCGTTTGGAGAGTCTCATTCTTGACCTTTTTATTTCACATACTTCATTCTATTTGAGCATTTTCCAATATCTATGGATATCCATCAACAAATCTCTATGAGCGAGGTTTAACAGTCAAGCCACTTGAACTTAAAGCCAAGCAGCGTCGAATTTCATAATCAATTGAAACGTCATTTGTTTTTTCTCATATCAACATGATCACCATGTAGCAAAGTGAAAATCAAGTGCATTTCCAAATATCTCATGACAATTCTGTTATGCTAAGTTTATTATACACCATCTCATTCCTGTTCTTTCCGCAGAGTTCAAGCTCGATATCTAACTGTCTTCAAATGAGGAAGAAAAAAACAAAAACAACAAAATTGTTGAGGGGCTTTAAGGCACTTGCCGCTTCTCCCCGTTTCTCTAGTTGTACAAGAGGATCTCTACTGGGAGAGGTGTCCGTTCGTAGGGCTTTAAGACGCTTGTCGCTTCTCCCTATTTCTCCAGTTGTGTAGGAGGATCTCGACTGGGGAGGTGTCCGTGGATAAATGGCTGGAGATGGGTGAGAGAGATGGTGAGAGAGATGGTGAGAGAGATGGTGAGAGAGATGGTGAGAGAGATGGCAAATAGATGGTGAGATAGATGGCAAATAGATGGTGATAAATGGTAGGATAAATGATTGAATAAATGGTAAATAGGCGGTGAGATAAATGGTGAGATAAATGATAGGGATAGATGATGAAATTAATGGTAAGATAGATGGTATAAATGGTAAATATATAGTGAAAGAGATGGTGAAATGGATGGTGAAGTAGATGGTGAAATAGATGGTAAGATAAATGGTAGGATAGATGATATGAATGGCAAATAGATGGTGATAAATGAAAGGATAGATGGTGATGGATGGTGAGATAGATAGTGAATAGATGGTAGGATAAATGGTAAGAGAAAGATGTTAAGATATATGGCAAAAGATAAATGAGAGGTAGATGGTGAGATAAATGGTAGGAGATAAATGGTAGGAGATAAATGGTGGGATAGATGATAGAGTAAATGGTGAAAGATAGATGGTGGGATAGATGATAGAGTAAATGATGAAAGATAGATGGTGGAATAGATGATAAAGTAAATAGTGAAAGACAGATGATGGATTAGATGATAGGATAAATGGTAAGATAAATGGTAAAACAAATGGCAAATAGATGGTAAGATAAATGGCGATAAATGATAGGGGTTAAATGGTGAGATAGATAATAAGCAAAAAATGGTAAGCGAAAAAGATAAATGGTGATAAATGGTGAAGATAAATGGTGAAGATAAATGGTAAGCGAAAAAGATAAATGGTGATAAATGGTGAAGATAAATGGTGATAAATAGTGAAGAAATAAATGACAAGAGATAAATGGTAATAGATGGTGACAAATGGGAAAGTTAAATGGTGGAGATAAATAGCGAGGATAAATGGTAAAGATAAATGGCAAGGTGGATGGCAAGGTAAATGGCGAGGAGAAATTGGAAGAGGTAAATGGTAAGAGGTAAATGGCAGGAGATAAATGGCAGGAGATAAATGGCAGGAGATAAATGGCAGGAGATAAATGGTGAAGATAAATGGTAAGATAGATGAGATAAATATTGAGATAAATGGCAAGGTAAATGGTGCAGGGGTAAATGACAGGAGATAAATTGTGATAAATTGTAAGATAAATGGTAAGGGATAAATGATGATAAATGGCGAGATAAGTGGCAAGGTAAATGGGAAGAGATAAATCAGAAGGGATAAAAAGTGAGATAAATAGTAATATAGATGACTGAATAGATGGTTGAATAAATGATTGGAAACATGATTGAAAAAATGAGAAGAGATGGTTGAAGAGATGGTTGAATTAGATGATTGAAGAGATAATTGAATTAGATGATTGAAGAGATAATTGAATTAGATAATTGAAGAGATAGTTGAATTAGATGATTGAAGAGATAATTGAATTAGATGGCTGAATTAGATGATTGAAGAGATGGTTAAATGAGATGGCTGAATTAGATGATTGAAGAGATGGTTGAAGAGATGGTTAAATTAAATGGCTGAATTAGATGATTGAAGAGATGGTTGAAGAGATGGTTGAGGAGATGGTTGAAGAGATGGTTGAAGAGATAATTGTATAAATGATAAAAGATAATTGAATAGATGTTGAGATGAAGTTTAGAAGATGTGGGAAAAACGAGGTATTTAAGGACTTTGAGAATTAGTGTGGTGATCTGGAAATATCGTTGCTAACTGAATTGAGAGTGTCACAAATTGACAGAATAGAATTCTTTGAACCAGAGACCCAATTATTAATCTGAGCGTTCGAGTTGACTCGGAATCAATAGAACATACTAGAGCTAGAATGATTCGAAATCACACCATCAGAACAGATATGATCTCTGATTTCTAAATAGTAACGATTCGGTTCGTTAGCCGACTCGTTGAATACCAAATGCGGAACTCGGCTGGATGAACCAGTTGATTCAAAATCGATAGTTGAACATGCTACACCTCGATTGATTGGAAATCAGTCGATCAAGACAGATATGACTATCTAATTTTCTATAATCGTAGCGATTCGGCTCCATAGCCGAGTGATGGAGCTCCAGATTCGGAACTCGGCTGGATGTACTAGGCGAGTTTCGTAAGAATTTCAATCACATACTTTATCCGTATACCTGTTCAGATGGAAGATACATGGATTTGTAACAGCCAAGAATGATTTATCATAATCCTAGAGCTTTCCTTCATCACTAAATTTCTGATAATTCCCTACGTTCAATTTTCCCCGCATTTTAGATTCGCATTCACGATTTTTCCACGCAAGGCTATCCTTGGGACACTCCCCAGGTCTCCCCATTAGCTTGAATTGATCAACCGACATATCTGTTCTCAACCTCTAATTTCGTCTTTCTTCGATGCCGAGCCGGTCACACTCCTCATCATGCTCTTCCGTTGCACATCTGGGATTCCCATTGCGAAACACAATCTCGGAAGTACTGGCACCATCCCGCTAGTATTAAGTTGCTCATTTTGTCTCGATAGCTGATCCAGACAGTTATCTAGCTGGGATTCATAGAATTTATTTTCTCTTTACAAGTTACGATAGCGAAATGGTTGTACGTCGAAAGTAAGATAACAAGCGACTATCGTCTAAACTCGTCAATTCCCCCCAGTCCCTAAGTGACCCCTAGTCATAAACCTTAGAAGAAACCACCGTATATCTGTCACCTAATAATAACGTAACGGGAAGGATCTTACAAAGCATTCAGATCACAATAAGAAAACCTCTCACTCTCGTAGAACTCTATCAATCGACCACCCCAGAATCATCTATGATCTTCCAGTTACTGAGTTTCAGATTTCAAAAATGCCTAGATCACTCCCGAATACGATTATCGCATATCTTCCATCTCCTACCTATACTGAGATTCCTATCAATTACTAATTGGTACCCAATCATCCATCCACTACTTTCACCACCAAACTAGGTAAGTTCCAATCTATCACCACCCATCCACTAACTACCCCACTGACTCTTCAGACCTAGCCCAACCCAGCTCATCACACATCCCAGACTCTTCGATCTCCAAGCTTCATCCGAACAATCCTGAATACTGTTCCAATAGAATCTCTTCCGCGAATCTGTAATTTCAAATTCTCTTACAAGGCCATAATTGATTTCTCTTACAAACGATTCAATAGTACGAAGTACGCTTCCACAAGCTAGCAAATATCATTTTGAGTTAACCGAGTATTTTACCTAAGTTCTGACTCATGAATCTGATCAGGAGGTATGGGGAAAAATCTCCTAGGTGGTTTCTTCTCCTGTGCTGTTGTCGATATGCCGATCTATTAGTAGATTCATTTGTCTTGCCTATGTCTGTCATGTTAAGTGAATGGGATGTCAAATTTTCTGATCTAGATCCAATTAGATCTACCATTGCCTATCGATTATCAATCCGATCGACCTAGAGAACAAAAAAATAAAGACACCTGGGCAGTTCAAAAAAATAAGGTTGAGGGATGAGGGGGAAAAAAGGAAAGAGTCAGGGGTAGAATTAACTTTTCTTGCGAATATCATTTGGATACGAAGTAAGGGTCGGATAGGAGATCCGGTGCTTCTACCCCACGCTATTCTCAATCTTCTCTGTCTTCATCTACGTGTCTCGGAAGCAATCATTGGAAATACTCATCTACTCAGATAATAATCTGTATCTACCCTTCGGCTTGGCACAATTGCCGAGTCCAGGACCATAAATCTTCCTGTCGTTTCGTTTTTCCTTTTTTTCATCTCCCTAGCACCTACCTAAACCCCCTACCAAACCTGTTACCTCAATTACGTCCCCTACCCCCATCGCAAACATTTTTATTACACATTTCAATTACAAATCTCTATCCCACATCCCCATTACAAATCTTTAAGATCATCTCCCAATGCGCCACCCTGTCCCAATCCCACAAAGCACTCGCCAAACTCGCGTATCAAAATGAAGTTCAAATCCCTCCTATACTATACTCTACAAGTCCTTAACCCCCTTACCCTAAATGCATGACTATGGTCTTGCCCATTGTTACAATTGCACGTACTTACCAACTCTCCCTTCCTTCGATTCCTTTTCAACCATGGCCCCGAAGTGATCATCTAGAAATATCACATCGTACAAGGATCCCCGCACGTAAATCCTCGTTCACAGACTCACTCCAAGCACTCTCCTCCCCAATACGATTCCACTATACAAGCAAGCTCTACAGTAGATCTTACAAACCCAACCCATCTATCTATCTCCCTATCTATGCGACCAAAAAGCATACCACACACCCATCAAACCAACACCTAAGAAATACATAAACAAAACCACACCATCCAGTCCTCTTACAATTATTTCTCATCTTATAAGTCATTCATCTATTTATCCATCTATTCATCCATTTATTCATCTATTCATCTATCTATCTATGTATCTATCTATTCATTCATGCATCCCTCATTGTCTTCCTCTTCAAACTCTAGACTCTCATTTATAGATTCCCTCTTTCCTCCCTATTCCATATTCCTAACATCCAACTACCTACCTACCTACCTACCCAATTACACCAATAAGCCTACTCATCTCAACTCAACTCATATTTCACCCCCAATTATCATCTCCTCATCTCTTATTCCAAACTACTTACCTCCCTCCCACCAATAAAACACAAAACACAAAACATCACCTGCACCAACCAGAAATTCCCTGAATATCGTTCTTTCTATCCTTCCCCTCTTCCTTCCCTTCCAATATCTCCCCTCCACAATCCTCCATACTCACCACTCACCATTTATTACTCACCAATCACTATTCACCACTCACCACTCACTACATCCCCCTCACTCATCCCAAACAAACAAAATACAAATTCCCACCCTAAATCCCTCATTTCAAACAAGTAAAATCAGCCAGCACTTATCATTATACCATACATTCCACCGTAAATTACACCGTACATTCCAACTACCAAGAATAAGGACCGAGAAAGATCAGATAAGAATAGAGAGAATACAAATCAGAAATCATATTAAAGTCCACATATATTCCCCATACATTCCACTCAGACCCATCCCAAGGCATCTAGATAGTCAAATGATTAGACAATCAAATAATTAATCTCCAAAGAAACCAGCAATCAGAACTTTGTGGAGAAGTTGAAGAAGAGAAGAGAGGGAAGTGATATAAGAGATAGTAGATAGTGGATTGTAAATAAATAAATAAATAAAGTGATATAATATAATATAACATAATATAACGTAACATAGTAAATTTCCATCTTTCGGATTCTGTAGACTGTGAGTTTTCATATCTATTTATATATATACATATTACATCCCACCTCGCACATCCCGTTTTGCATATGTATCTCGCATATCCCACCTCACATGTACGTATATACAGATATATATCAAGTTCTTATTCTATTCCATTAATCCAACCCAATCCAATCCAATCCAATCCAGTCCAATCCAATCCAGGCCAAATCAAATAAATCAACAATACAACAATACAACACCATAACCACATACACAATAACATTTCCATTCTTTAAATATTCAATCTTCTCTTTTGTTTAGGAATACAAACAAATGAGCAAATAAGCAATTGAGCAATTGAGTAACTAACCAAAGTATAATTTCAATATTCAGAATAATCCAATATCCAATATATTCCTATCTACTGACCTATCTACTAACCTATCTACTGACCCATCTCTATCTATATATCCACACAACAAATTTATACTATACAAACTCTGTTAGAGTAATAAGTAAGCAAGCAAGCAAGCAAGCAAACAAGCCGAGTTGATTAATATCAATGCTTTACAATGAATGAATGAGAAAAGGTATCATATTCACTAACTAACTAACTATATTTCTTTCTATCTTTCATCTTTCTTTCTTTCCTTCTCACTCACTTCTTCTTCCTCTCTTGCCCTATCTTCTTCAATCTACTTATCACCCCCCCCCCCCCAATCAATCAACTACCAAAAATCTAAACAAACTTAACCTCCCCAAAAAGTCCCGCTCTAACCTGCACCAACGCCGCCAACTCCAACAAAAACTCCTGCAACACAATAACATTCGTCAGAATATGACTTACGCTTACCTTTTTATCTTCTTTCTCTCCCTCTGCATCCATCACTACCTCCGTCTCTCCCTCCTTCATCTCCTCCTTCCCCTGTGAACCGCCACTCCCCTCCATCCCACTGCCATCCATCTCAAAATTCTCCACCAAAGTTTTACTTTCCACCGCTCCATCCTTCGTTTCCGAAGCTTCCGCTTCCACTTCCGCTTCCACTTCCACTTCCCTCTCACCCCTATCCCCACTCTCCCCCATCCTCTTTTTAGCAACCTTGAGATCTGGAAACGGTATCGCCACCACCTCATCTCTCTTAACCCTCTCCGGGATCCCCACTCTCCTATTCAAAATCCCCTGATCAATAGCCGCAAATGCCGCTGCCTGACTAGGCACAACAACTCTCTCCCTCCTCTCCTCCTCCTGACTTCTCGTTTGTGAACTCCCTCTACTGGGTGATTCCGCACTCGATAGAAATTGAGGTGGCGGATTCAACGTACGATTTGTAGGAGTAGAGAATCCATGACTCCCACTCGCACTTCCTTGTTCACGATTTGGATTTGCCGGACGACCGCGAGTTTGTGGAGACCCTGATCTAGAAGGAGTGTTGAAGTCCCCGGAGAAGATACGTTGAGCTACTTTATCGAGGGCTGATTGACGAGGGGGTGATTCTGTGTGAGCGGATGATTCACGGTAACTTCTAGGTCGATGACGAACTGGAGTGGTCATAGATGCTGCTTGTTGGAACGCATCACGACGTTGTTGAAGTATATCCTCAAATCGAGGAATTTCGGTTCGATAACTATTAACTTGATCGACCAACGTATCAAGTCTGGTAAGTAATTCGGGTTTTGGTGTTTCTGACCATTTGAGACGACGTTGTGTTAGTTTTAACGCACGAATTTGTGCCTTCTCCAAAATTTCATCCGGATCTCCTATGTTAGCGAGAAGAAGATCGTCCACAATTTCATCAGTTCTACCTTCTTCAGATTCTTCATATACATATTTCGAAGGGTCAGGTAGAAGCCATCCATCAACACTCATATAACCACATGTGGCCAAATCTATAATTGCGGCCGTCAAAGAAAGGTTTGTTTCGACCGAATTCATGAAAAATGTCGACAAAATATCGAGTAAAGTCATAAGAACCGGATCTTCAGGTCTCAAAGTATGTGGACGAATATCTCTCGGCGCACCAGGAATTGTCGCCTGAGAACCTGGAAATTTAGAAGTTCCGCTAGCTGATTTAGGCGCAACAAGCGCAATGGAACAGGAGTGACTTTCCAAGGTATTCATACTATCTTTGATATGATTCTCATAAACATCATCAAAGTTATCCTCGCCGCCCAGATCCTCGGCCATTGTGAGTAAACACTCAATCTCTCTTTCATGAGCTGCAATAGAACGTTGCGGTCCGTCACCCAATACATGACCTGTTCGAAGTAGTGTGGTCACAGCGTATCGATGATGTCGTTTCAAAATAACGGATAAAAGCTGCAACGTAACGGTTACAGTCTGTGAACTTTTTGATCGTAAACTGCCTAAAATAAGATCCACCAGATTGTATAATGCAGGGGCACCTCCTTCTACTTGCAGAGCAACTAGAGTTGCAAGATCTAAAGACTTTCGTTTCCTCGCTGCGCTCACAGAAGCTTTCGAGCCTGAAGGCGCTGGTGTGGTATCAGGTAAAGCGAGAAGGTAATGAAGGATAAGATGAATCATATCAGGATGATCTAAAGATTCTAGAATCCGTCGTAAATATGTCAATACTGCAACCGATGAACCTCCATCGACATCTGAAGATTCGAGTAAAGATGGATATCTATTACAGACATTAGTTTTAGTAGCCAAGGAATGACAAAGAGTCCATACAGTAATTGTTGTAGAAAGATGACCTGAAAGTGCTCCAGAAGTGTCTGTTTCACCTCCATAGATTTGCAATGATTCAGAACATCCTGCCAGAAGACCAAATGTGAAAGGAACGTTTCCATATGCGATTGATAGTCCTCATCGACCGAGCTCACAATCTCATGTGTAGTAAGAGGATGCCGATAATCCGAAAGAGCTAGAACAGGAGGTAATGCATCCGGAGGATGATCAATAACAAGTTTTCGACTGAGCTGACTGTAAAGAGCACCAAGTCCCGTAGCCATGAGAGTAGCCAAATCACTCTCAACAATCCATTGCTCCAGTGCCACATCATTCGATGCCGCTTCGATAATATAAAGAAGACCTGTCCTCGCAAAATCACCACATCTCCCTTCCTCATGAATGTAATCAATCAACAGATAGAATAGTTGAAAATCCTCCTTGTGTGTCTTTCCCGCAAACTTCTCATGCGGATCCGCCGTATATCCCTTTGCAACATCCTCATCTCTTCGTTGCGAAGTAAACCAAACCGGCAAAATTTCCGGGTCAAGTCTGATCTTGGTCGTGATATTGAATGACAGCTCCACCACCTCGACCGCCAATTCCGAACCCAGATTGATATTATTCGACCCGGTAATCCGAATCAATAAATTCATAAGACTTTTGGCAAAGACATCATTCTCGACGAAATTCTCCTCCTCGCTATCAAGCAACGCAGCAAAGAGAGATACCGCCTCCCTAATAATCCCCTCATTATACGACGTCGTAGCTATCTTCCCAATCGAGATGTAGATTTGTTTTTCCGCCGCGAAAGCTATGCAAGGATGTGGTAAAGGACGACGAGACTCATCGCCGAGCACTCGAGTGATTTCAGACAGACAAATGCGTATTTGTTCCGCAGCGTCATAGTCTCGAGACAGATCTGTCGCATTGCGCCATAATTGCTACACGATTTGCTGATTAGCTCTCCCTTCTCACCGTCCCCCACATTCGCAGAAGAGCACGCTTACCAAAAGACGATTATATTCCCTCTTGAACCTCGCCAGTCGTTTTTCCGGATTGTTCAACGTTACCTTGCTGCCAGCTGGCGCGAGCGATGTGCCCGCTATCAAGCGTTGCCACTGTTTATCGAAAAGAAATATCAGTAACTGCACTCTCTCATCTAGAGATCTATCTCTTTGCACAGATCAAGATACGATGTCATATCATATACACAACAAACTCCCTCACACCCAAAAGAAACCGCGCAAACTTACAAAATCCATGACTTTGGAGGAGGCATCATTCATATCACCTTAACAAAAGCTATCGCATAAAAAAGTCCGAGAGATAGTAGCCGACGCGATCTGGTGAAACGCGCCTGCAACTTAGATGCGGGAGTTTAATTCTTAGTCAGCAAAGTTTGATATCGTTATCAGGAGTGAGTCAAGTGACAGTGAAATATACAAAGGATGGTGAACGTGGAGGGGCTTATGAATTAATGAGGAGCAATGCGATTTCAAGTATATCTGCATATTTCATTTCCCCCTTTTCAATCTGGTAGTAAGTACCCTTATGATGACGATGCAGATCATAATTTTTTGACCCACCTCCTATGCCAAGAATATCATAACACATAATGCCCAAACTAGATCTTATGCAAAACGTACGATACGATACATCGTATATAACTTCAAGTTTTTAAATACATAGCTAAGTACAAATAATATATATACAGAATGTCCTTCAAAAGTTCCTCTACAATAGAATGTCTAACCAAGTCCAATCCGTCTCATTTACAAACCCAGAGCCCCAACCAAACCCACCAAAATCGTACTACCCAACCACACAATATCAGTCTTCCTCCCTAGAATCCCCTCAGACGTCTTCGAACTCTGCACCACCCCCGCAACTGTGCTATCAGCCAACGCTGGTATCGTTGTTGTTCCAGTCTGAGCCCCCAAAACCCCCTCTGAAGTACTCGTACTAGCCCAATCCATAACCACCACAATTTTTCCTAATCCTCCTCCACTAATTGCAGATGTAGTTGCACTTCCTGCCACCGTCTTATTCTGTACCATTGTTTCATCACCCGCCATTATATAGAGGGAGGTTGTAGATGCAGTGCTTGATGCCTTGGAAACGGAAGAGGGTGTTTCGACCGGCGTCGAGGTAATTGTGTTTATGACGGCTGCGTTCACTGCCGAAATTGTTGTTTGGATGCTTGATAATATTGCTGCTTTGGTACTTGTAGTAGTGGAGGTTTTAGTGATTGAGCGAGTGAAATATGAGGTCGTAGTATGAGTCGAAGTAGTGGACGATATTATAGATGATGCGGATGTTGATGATTCAGCTGTCTCGCTGGTTGGACTTGCAACAATATCGGTACCATAGTTCGCACTCATAATTGATGTAGTAGTGATAGTAGCTGTGATTTCATTAAAGGGGACAAAGGCGGTAGGAACACCTCGTCCAGCACCCAGTTTACAATTTCCAAGGTTTGTTAGGGTGTCTGATTTATCTGATGCGGCATAACTAACCATCCAATTACGCAACTGTGTTGGCAATGTTGTTGAGAAAGCTCCTGGTGAGTTCCAGCCGTAGTTTGTATCTTCGTCGGCAAGAAAGAACCCGGAGGGATAAGGAGAAATTTCATCGCCAGATGAGCTTTTGATGTCACTCGGACGAGGGCATGCGTATGAGCCATACTTTGTTGTCGGTGATGCAGTTGCATATATGACATCTGTATATACCCAAACAGGTGTTGGCGATTCATAGACTGTTCCATAAGGATCGGTGAAAGCGGTACCATGAATGAAGGTTGTCTCGGCTCCGTAAACCCCCAAATCAGTCCCAATAATGGTTGTAGGAAGACCATTAATGGATGATCGCGTTATGGGTTTCGATGGGGCTGTAAAGTTTGTAGGAATGGTCTGAATACTCGTAATGGCTGTGTCGTCATATTTGTATACGATAGTAGAGACAGTGGCTACAGTAACATTGATGCTTTCAGAATACCATAGAACTTGGCCGACTTGAAATGACGAGAGATAGCAGCATTCGAGACTGGCTTCAAGAGTGGTGGTCGATGCTTCGGAACTCGTTGATGTTTCATTGTATGAGATAGAGGCCGCTGCTTGATGTCAGTTTTGAACAATGAAGTAGTTTATGAACGACCTACTTCTCTTTGGGAGTTGCCTAACGCCATATGCCTGTGTTGCCCATACTGATATTATCAACAGAGTGGTTCGGATTGAAATTTTCATGATGAGACCGAACAGAATTCCAGGCCCGAAGGATGAAAGATAAAAAGGTCTCGAGCATGGCTAAAATACGGAGCAGATTTGTGGTATTTGAGAGAGCAGAGACAGGGCTGAGTTCTAGGTCACCAACTTCATCTCGAGGGCAAGAACGTCGGGTCGCCCCGCAATTTGGGCTGTTGGCGCCTACAAACCTCATCAAGTAATTTACGAATCCGAATATCTGGCGCGTAGCGCCTCAGCCTTGGAGGAACATTGAAATGACTGGAAAATATAGGCTTGGGGAATCTCTTACAAAAATAGAGATCGAGAAAGGCTGATTTCTTAATCCCTATGTCAACTTTGACACGAAGGATACTTGGCACCCCCATCAGAGCTTCGTTTCTGAAATATGCCGGTTGCAAAATCTTCGAATATTTGATTTCGAGCACATGTTCATAAAGTTTTCAACGTTTCAAGCGTTTCTGACATTAAGAACAAATCGAGATCATAAGGGAGGCTGTAAAGTATACTTCTTTCAAGAGTTATAAAGTAAAAATTTTGAAACTTTGAAGATCATAATCAAAAAGACACATCGTCACTTTCACTTGCAAGGTGACTGATCTTGTAGGACTTTTTCCTGGGAACAGATTGATGACTTTTCTTGCGTAATGATGAGTGTTCTCCAAGCAGCCTTTGAGAGAAATCTCAAAGATCAAAGTATAGCACACTCAACTAGGGGCATAGCAATACAGCTTCTCAAATTCTCAAACCATTCGTTGTCAAATTCACGGGTTGAAAAGTTCTCGACCTTTGACAGCCCAGGCAGATTTGCTTCAGGAGATGGCAAGACTTGTCCAAGTAGAGTGGGGTAGACGCGTCTAGTAGTGTCGTGATGAATAGATGAAGCGATGCAGTTTCGATGTGATCAGAACATAAGAAAATGAAGTCGTCGGGATTCAATGCCTGTTTTACAGATGTGACCGCACGAAAATAGAGTGATCTACCCAAGTACCTAATCCGAAACCAGCTAGCTTTTTGCCTTTAGACGCCCAAGAAATGCGGAGACGAATCTTGGTACAGATCACCCATCACTTCTTCCCTTGCGATCCTAGGTGACTTCCCGTGCTTTACCATAAAACTCTGATGATACCCCTGACAAGTATATCATATTTCGAAGAAATTCATTCAAACTTCCCATGCATGGAAAATATGTGTACAGAAATTGCCATCTCTTCTCTTGCTTCGTCATTCATCATTTCTTTCCAAACCTTAACAATAAGGTCATCCGTGGCACCCAATGTGATTTATACACATGACTTGTGGGTAGAGACACGTTGAACTCAACTGAAATGAGTTTATTGAAATTAATGAAACGAACCGAGACCGATACTGGGTGGGTATGAGCGAAAAGCTATTTTCAGTTGGAGGATCGGATCACCGTCGTCACCCGAGGCTAAATCATGGAGACTGCTAATATCACGGAATGCTCGGGTCGCCTTTGGTTCATTGCAGATATATTTGAGGTGTGATGGGCAAGTTTCATACATAATTTTCTCGTGTCAATTCTCCTGATTAGACTTGTCGAGGTCCGTCCCATGGTGCATAGCTTGGTTTCTAAAGTGTCATGGCGAACTACATAATTTTTGTGAGAATTTTATGAGCGTCTGTCTGGGTTTACATCAATAGGAGTTTGATTTTGAATCCAGCAGCGGTCGCGGTTCCCGATAAATGAATACTCAGGTACGGTACCGATGATCCTGTCCCATTGATGATAGACGAGAAGAAGCACCCCTAAACAGGTGCCATTAATGCTGTGTCTGAAATATCGGTCAAGCTTGCAGATGGTATATGCCGTGAATTGCATGATCGTTTGCAAGATGTCTTTTCCTAGATTTTCGAAAAGGGTTGCAGAGGAAAGGAAAAGACGGAAAAGGAAGGAGGACTGCGTGTAACCAAAGCCGATTCAATCGATATTACCAGATCTACCAATCTCCCCGATAATGAAAGTTATGCCCCATAGCCTGGGAGCTGTTTTAGGATATGTGGTTCTCGTATGCAAGAGACATAATCATCGACCTGCGAGCTCCACCTTGAATGATATATTATCCGGAGCCATGACCATTGCTTTCGGAGCGTTTGCGCATATCCGGTTGTAAGAATGGTCACTGGAGTCTGGAAATAAAAGAATGCCCCTTTGTAAATCAGTCATTATGAAGACATCTTGGGGTTCTTTATCGAAACCGCCAACAGTCGCCCGAGAGCAAGGAAGAGGTTTTGAAGCTGGGCAGAATGCACAAATGATAGGGTGAGAATGAATGTCGGTTGTTGTTTTTTGTTTGTGGTTGCTGTTGTTGTTGCTATCGAAACATCGATCTCGGTAACCAGTTGAATGTTGCAATTGAAGGCAGGGAAGTTCCTAGTCGCTGGACGGCTGTCATCATCAGCTGAGTTGGGATGAGGGGTAGATTGATGGGTGGAAACGGAGCTATTTTCATCTCTATTCATGGATATAGCTTCGGAAAATTAAGAGAGATCTTGTTTTTGGAGGTATTGTATATATGTGTGTATGTGTGTATGTGTGTATGTGTGTATGTGTGTATGTGTGTATGTGTGTATGTGTGTGTATGTATATGTGTGTGTGTATGTATGTATGTATATGTGTGTGTATATATGTGTATATGTATGTATATATGTATATATGTATGGATATGGATGGATATCGTAACAGACACGGGAGAGATATTATTGATATATTGATAGATACATCAACAGATACTAGGTAAATCGATATATTACCTACGGCGCACAAATGATAATCATTACCTTGATGCAAGCACTGGCGATATGTAGGTCAGATATACGATAGCGAAAACAACCTATGAGAGAGTCGCATGCATGAAATTATGATATGTATGTAGGTATACCGGTCTGTAGTCTGTCGCATGTCGTATGTACGAAGCACTGGGTTGCATCATTCTTCTTACATCGTCCCCAGTCCCTACCTAGCACGTACTTATTATACCTCCATGAATGATAAGCTGCTGATAGTGGAGCACAGCGCAGTGCGGAAAGCGTCCCTTCTTCTTTGTTTACATTGCACACGGATTCTTCACGATGAAGCCACCCACCAATGATTTCCACATCGTGAATGCCGTCTTGTTATACTGGAGACGACGGGGTGGATGGTTCATGAAGCAACACATAGTACCTCCCTGGATCGTTTGTATGTGTGCGATATTATTCGATATTATCCTCTGTCTGTCTGTCCTGCTGCAGGAACACAGACAATCCAAGGAACAAATCGCATTGTGTGAATTGTATGCTTTTCTCTTTCATAATTGTCGATGGATCAGATACACAGACTCGAATATGCTACCTTGCTCCAAACAGTCGAAAGGTCTCAAATATATCCATGGATGGATTCACATTGGGACTTATTTGGAACTTTAGCTATCAGTTGGAGCGACAATTAACTTTACTGAACCAATCATCGGATGATATCTTTAATTTCATTTGAATTCTAGTGCGGGGCGTGGAAGACTTCACTAGGATTAGGGGTTATTCAAGGTTTCTCATTTTCACACCTCACTCACGCTAGGCATCAAGTAGTCGCTATTGTATCTTGCTTCACTCTCACACTCACACTCGTCGTACTCATAGTGCCCATAGTGCTCATAGTGCTCATGCTAGGAGGATACTGGAAGACTGCAGACCACGACTAGGGAGAGAGGCTTAGGTAGGTACGGAAGTAAGAAAGGAAAGGAAAGAAAAAAGGGAGCACGGTTGCTAGAGCGACGCGTCTAAATATCCACCCCTGCCACACATACCCAAAGAGAAAAAAAAAAGTTACCCAACTCAGCACTTTCAAGCATAATAACAATAGAAATAGTAATAATAATACTAATACTAATACTAATAATAATAATAACAAGTCAATAATGATAATAAGAGTAAACAAGAATTTATTTATGGCCAACTTGTTATTCTTCTTCTTATTATTATTATTATTACTATCATCCGGTTTTATTCAATTGCCCGTTTCTTCCATTATTCTATTACAGGTAATAGAGTACATCCATCCATCATCCATCCATTTCCTATCCCATCCCATCCCAATCCATCCCATCCCATCCCATCCCATCAAAATCACAAAAAGTCAGCCCCATACAATTTTATACTCTTCTGTCTTCTCTCCTCCTCTCCTCTCCTCTTCGCTCCTCTCTCCTCTCTCCTCTCCCTCCTACCAGTCAACCAGTCCAGTCCAGTCAGTGATAACATAATCGGTCCCGGTACGGCAATCTTTTGTTGATACACCCCTTCAACGCCCTCGCTCCAAAACAACATCCAATTACTTCACTCTCTTTCTTCTAATTTATTCTTCTTTGCGGTACCTGTACTTGCAAACCATCTTCCTCAAGATAATTCTTTTCCGAGTCCATAACGACCTCCGCTTTCTCCTTTTTTAATATTGAAGCTCCTTTTTTTTTAATCTCCCCATTAAATCAAACAGTACAGTATTCAAGGCGGGAGTGAATCTCTCCTTCGTAACCCCATTCAACAAATCAACTTACACATTCGTTCTATCTTAACCACTATAAAACTATCTACCAGGTACGCGCATTCCTCGCGTCTGATAACGAGAAGGCCTGCTTGCTTTTTCATCAACATTGTCATTTGTCCAAAATCCCACATTCCACAAATATACATCTGGCTACTGCAAGGTGATTATCCTTCTCCACAACGACACATTCGGGGTTTTTGGGGGTGGAAGTTGGTGACTTGAGGAGATGTCTTCTTCGTCTTCGCAACCGGTAAGCGCACACATCGATAGATAGATTTAGATGATAGAGCGCGTTGAGGGCCATGCTGTTGTTGTCATTGCAAGATAAACATGAAATCTAATATTTACAATGCAGGTTCCTCCACTGAGGATTCAAAAAGGTTCCATATCATCTGGATCACCAGTCAAGACTTCTACACCGCGACCACTTTCAGAGCTAGCTCCAACAGCTCAAAGGCGGAATTCTCCAAGTTATAAGCAAGCCACAAAGGTAAGAATTCCCTGTGTCTATTTTCAGCAGTTCTTTCTCTCGGAGATTTAAAAGCTAATCCTGACGTAGAAGATGAGTCTCAATCTCAATGGAGATTCGTCTCCATTCCAGTCCTCCCCGTTCACTTCCGCCGAAGGCTCCTCTCCCCATCTCTTCTGGCAAAACCGTGATCCAGGCACACCAAATCGAGTCGGCACGGAAAATGTGTTCAAAGATTCTTCGATATCACCAACAAGAAAATCTTCAATCGAACGTCTACAGCGCGCGTCGCGTGTTAAGAACAGCACCATGTACGCAAGGGAGCAGAAACTCGAATACGACCCTATGTCAATACCTGTTGTTGAGAGACCATTGGCGAAGAACATACAAGGCAATGCTTATGGAGGAAAAGGGCTGGAAGGGTTTAGATCGGAGCAAAATCGACCATATAACCACATGAAGACGGATAGTAAAAGCAGTATTTCACTGGCCAGTCCGCCGCCTCTGAGCCCGAACAGAGAGCCCTTGAAGGTGGCAGCAACAAACGGTCTACGATCACCCAGCAGAGATCAAATTTCTCCCACGAAATCCTCCATGGCAACTAGTCGATTTACTGGCAAGGCACTTTACGATCCAGAGCACAATACTTTTGGCGATGAAGATTCGGGTGATGAGAGAGAACGAGAGCTTCCACCTGGACGAAGTTTACACAGACATGCGAAGAGTGTTACTTTTGATGTAGCTCCTCCACAGATCAACGAGTACGAATTAGCTACACCTGATATATCATCTATTGGAACAGGTTCTCGGGAGAATAGTTATGATTCCGAGGAGGATGACGAAGAGGATCTTTACTACCATGACAACGGGCTTGAACAAGATGATAGCTTCGATGCTTCTCTTGAGGATATTGAAAAGACACCAGTTGTTGGACCGGATGACTGGAGACATCCCAGCCCGAGAAATAGCTATGGTCAAGGTTCTGGTTACTTCGATGATCCATTTGACGGTCCAGATGGTAGTCCAAGGCCTGATGCTCGTCCTTCATCCTCGGCTGGGCGTCCTAATGGGACACGCAATGATTCGTTAAACTCAAATGGCGAACATCGACCACTACCACCTCTACCCGGTATGGCTGCCAATGACCGAAGGGGCTCAGCCTCCTCGGGTATTGAGCGTGGAGCAACGAGTTCACCGAGAAACCTGCCTACGCCACCTCCTCCCACTTCTATCAGCAAAGCAGATCTTCAAGGAATGAACGGAAACAAGCTGACTTTGGAGGAAAGATTGCATTTGATGATGATTCAGGACGATGATCGGCCAAAGTCTTCTGAAGGTAGACCCAAATCTGCCGAGAGAGAGGAGCAACGAGAACGTCGCATGCGTCGTGCAGGAGCACGTAAGAGTCAAACACCGGAACGAGAGGCCCAGCCCATCAAAATTCATGAAGATAAAGAAGACCGAGAAGATCATGAAGATGAAGATGCATTGGATGATCTTCCAGGATTGGGTTCGTA